ATCCGGAACAGCGCTTGTTGCAAAGTGTTTTGACACTCGTCTTCATCACATGACACATTTAACACGCTGTCATTGGTTGAGCTTTGTTTACAAAACAGATGTCCACATGGTTTTTAAATTGTTTTAATTTCCTTACTTTCTAAGACACATTAAGTTGATTTGATGCTACAGTTTGCCTTGTAATATTACACCTTTTCTGCTACTTTTGAATTGGCTATTATTAAGTTTTATTAGTTTTTTAGGTTACAAGATGTTTCCTACAAAAAACAGAATGTGAATCTTTTCCTAAAATTTCATGGTGATATCTTGAACACTGAGGAAGTTATGAGCAAAAAACAGAAAACAAAAAGGTGAAATGGTCACATCGGTTCTACTGTGAACTGGAGCAAGAAAACATGAGCTGATTTCACCTAAAAAACATCAATAACTTCCCTCATACTTCAGATAATCACATGATTTTGGTGTTATTTTGTATGGCTTGAAATGYTCTTTTGGAATAAGCTGTCAGATTTAATATTGGTGTAGGATTGAAAATGTATCCACATCCCTACATAAAACATCTTTACCTGTTTATTATTGATCTGTGCAGCCATTGCAGCATTGCCCTGTGAAAATTAATCAACCATCAGTTTCTTTATTTTGTGTTTTTCTGACTTTCCCTGCTGTCTTCAACACATTCACCTGTTTGAGTTCTCTAACATGKAATGGTCTTAATAAAAAACTTACCAARCATTATCAGATGAGATAACACAGCTGTCCAACATCAGATTTTATGTTGTAAAGRTATGGACTTTATTGTGTCTTTTACATTTGATATAGTAACTTTTAACCCTATTAAAAGGGGGGTGCTGTGAATTTTTTTTATTTTATTATTATACCAAGTTAACCACATTAAACCCAAGTTTCCAWATAGCCAAAATTGTTTTTACCTGAACGTCGACGTCCATGGCCTCTGGTTCTTGGGTTCCCGCTGACATTTTGACAAACTCTTTCCTTCAAACACAACAGTTAACATTTATATGACAGCACTGAGAACTCTGCTCAAATAATTCATTTTCATAGAATATTTAAAACTGCGCAGCACMGATAGAAGTTGCTCTGTTGTACTTTCGCTTTTGGAAGCGGAGCTAACTAAACCTCGAAAACGTATATATCTGTTCCACTATTTTGRTAAAAATTTGCAACATGCCGTTTTCAGAGGAGGACGGAGATACAGAATATAAACACGGCTCTTAARTATCAGTTTAAAGCCAGCTGTGACTCAAACTCACCGTGTTTGTGCTGTTGAACGATGCGTTTCCTGATAAATGAAAGCGAAAGCAGCTCCGTAAAAAAACAGCGACATTATTTAACTCTATGGTAAAAACAAGGAAACAACCTGCCTTCCTTTTTTTTTTTTTTTAGACACGTATCGGGTCTTATTTTATTTATAGTAATATATAAAAAYGTAATATTTTTTTATTGTATAACATGAAAAATGTTTGTATAAAATATTTAGACAAATAATGGTAGTAGCTTTCTTTCCCACTGTCCCCTGAAGGCAACATCC